CAGGAGAAAGTTCATTAATTGAAAAGGTGAAATCCAAATAAAAGCTGTAATAGTAAATAGCATGGTAATTGTTCACGTTCCTGATTTTGATCATTGCACTGTTGTTATGTAAAACAGCGGTGTTAGAGAAAGCTGGGTGAGGAACACAAAGGTCCTTGCTGTACTACTCCATTTTTTCTGAATTCTAAAATAATTTCAAAAGAAAAAGGTAAAGAATTATGTAGGGGGGGGGGAGTATTTATCCAACCACCTAAAACAAACAAACCTCTTGCACATATTCACAAGGAACTTTATTCGTTCATCCATTCAGTTCCCACTGAGTGTTTACTATGCATGACAGACCATTAAAAGTATAATGAAAGATCAAAATAGAATATCTTCACTGAGGAACTTATGCTCCAGAAATGAAGATTAAAAAAAATAATAAAACAAAAAATTAAAAATAAATAAATAAATAAATAAATAAATAACTATTTATTCATTTGGTCACAGGAGTTATGAACAGGCGTGAAGAAAGTACAGTTTGGTTCTAAAATATCCTCAAAAGCATGTGTGTGTGAGGCATGATCCATACCATGGCACCATGGGGGACTGGAGCCCTTAGAAGGAGGGTCCTACTGGAAGGTCTTTCAGTCGATGGAAGTGTTTCCTCAAGGGTATTATAGAGCCCTCCCCTTTGTCTCTCTCACATCCAAGCTATGGAGTCAACAGGCTTCTTGGCATGCACTCCTACCATGATGTGCTATGTCCACACAGGCCAAGGACTGACCCCTCCAGAGCTCTGAGCTAAAATACAGCTTATTCTAAAGCCAATTTACCACAACTATTGGTTTCAGGAATGGAAAGCTTACTAACACAGTATGACATCAGAACATAGTGCCAAGACGAGATGTGATTGGTTTAAGATGATCAAGGAAGACTTCCTCTGCAAAAAGATTACGGGAGTATTGTTTGTAATTTCCCTGACCTAAAATGGTAATAATTTAAATAATTTACCAAAAGAGAATATACAAATATGTGTGGATCATATGCAATTTGGATAAACCTATATATATATATATATATTACTTATACAAACCTCATGACCATAGTACTAAGCATGAAAGAATATAAAATGTTATGATAATGTTCTCACCTATAAAAAACTTAAGATATGCAAAACAATATTCTGCATAGTTTACACATTTATACAGAAAAATATATTTTTGAACTGTATGTATAATATATATTACATTTGCAAACTGTCGTGTCATCTGAGCTCACTGAGAATATAGCTATGGAAGGGGGATAGACCCCTGCCCAGTTCATACCCAAGCCTGTTTGTCTCAAAGTGTCCTCTAACGCCCTTTGTCTTGGAATTACCTGTTCCCCAACTCTGTGACAGGGAGGGAAAGGAACAGCAAAACAACCAAAGAGAAACAACATCCTGCCCTTGAAAACAGCAAGAAGGTGAACCATTTCCAACACATTACTGTTTATCCCATAACATATAAAAGTGTCTGCAGTAAGAAAGAGAAGATATAAATTCATTCATGGAGAGAGAGCTCACTTGGGAACCCAAACTGATTGCCTCAACTTCCCCAGTTGGTTTCTGCAAGATGTCGTGAGCTCCTAATTTGAGGATATTATCTATAGCTGTTGCTACTTGATTTTTTTAATGTTTATTTAATAACCACACGATAGAAGAAGCATTTCATTACAGCTTTAACATATTTGATTAATTTTTTTATTTGTTATTTTTATTTTCTGTGTATGAGTGTCTTGCCTGCATATATGTGAGTGCATTGTGACATGTACCCTAAGAGGGCTTCGGATTCCCCTGGAACTGGAGTTATGGATGGTTCGTAGCAGTCATGTGGGTGCTGGGAATTGAACCCGGGTCCTCGGCAAGAGCAGTCAGTGCTCTTAATCACTGAGCCATCTCTCCAGCCCCGCTATTTGATTTTTTTAATTAAAAAAAAATCTTTATTCTTGAAAATATGCATGTATTTTTTTCCTTTAATTGGTAGCATCACGCAAGGGAAAACTGCTCTGGAGACCCTCTCTACCCAGAATTCCAACTGACTGTCTTAATGGGGTTTCCATGGACAATTTCTACTGGATGTCTGTCTTGAGTGCCTGATTTTATAGTGTTTTGCTGTCTATGTATCTGTCTGTTTGTCTGTCTATAACTTGCTATGTATTCTTTTATTTTGATTTACTATATAATTAATAAGCTTACCCATTGAAAACCAGAAGTGTGGCTATCATAGATGGTGCTCTGGGTCATATAGAACAGCTTGTAAATAAGTAAAGCCAAATTCAGGAAAGTTATTATGCATGATAATAGAGGAAGACGGAATTTCATCAGAGAGAATACACAGAAGGCTAAAATGTATAGAAATTTTAAATTAATTTTTAAACTGACAGAGGGTATAGAGATGAACTTATAATCTTTATGTTTTACACATCTAAATTATCTTGATAACAATTTTCCAAAACTATGTATAGTAGTTCATCATAATTTAAAAAGAATGGCTTAAAGTTGTAAGTTTAAGCCATCTCTAAAATCATTTGACCAAGTGCAATGTACACTACACTCACTGTGTGTGTGTGTAGTGCTTATGTGTCCACCCTTCTGGTGATACACACTTTCACTGTGTATCTAGAAGTGTGTGTTCATACGTGTGTGTATCCGTCAGTAATGATGGATTCACACTCAGCCTAGCAGAGATCACATTCAATTATTTCTCTGGAAACAGCAAAGGAAAGATCTGTGTGATGTGATTGCACATTCTTGCACATACCCTCTCCCCCTTTCTTCTGCTGTTACACAGCTGGTTGGGTTCAGGTAGTATCCTGGGGAACAAAGAATGACTATTTGGTTTGTGTGGGGACTGAATCTCTCTTCATCGGTTTGTATATTTCAGTTTTAAACTTATCAGTTTTTAAATTTTTAATAGTTTCTTACTTGCACACGATTTATTGTTTTCCTATTCCTCCCCATCCTCCACCACAGCTTTCTGCTCTTCCCATTGCTGACCCCCTTCTTCCCAACTAGTCTCCCTCCTACATTCATGTCTTTTTTTATGTGCTTTGCTTGTGCAAGTAGTCACAGATATTGTGTTCATGACTGCCATGACCTTGTCACATCCGAAAGACAGTATTTTACAATATTCCTCCCTATCTTCCTGCTCTCACAGCCCCGGGGGCCTCAGGGTGAGTGATATAGAAGGTCTAGTTAATTTCTTCATGTTTTAAAAGTCCTATGGGTGATGTTGGCAGAGCGTCTATCATTATCATCTCTGATCACCTCTTCTGTTAAACACAAACCTGAGATCTAGAGGTGCCTCACAATGAACGCGAATGACACAGCAAAGCAATTCCCTGACTCTTTTTCTTTATAATTGTGGACTCCCTTAATGGGCATTCAAGTACAGATGCAATAGATAACAGTCATATGCAGGGAGTAGAGCCTCTTCATTCTTTGGTCCTGAACTGAAAACTGGAATGATTTAGAGAACGCATTCACACAAATACACATTGACAATGAAAACCACAATAAGCTAATCAACTTTGACAAACTGAAAGCTAGAGAACTGGAATCAGATTTTTCATAATAAGATATTTTCATTCTTGTAATTCATATTTTGTAATGTGTAATATAAAGTAAAAAGGAAATTTAGAAGGGGTGAACAAGACCATCTCCAAATTTTAAGAATTTTGAATCTTTCCTAGAGTGGTCAAAGTTATAGCACTATAAAATATGTGGTTTTCTAGATTATCTTTTTTATTTGTTTTTAATACAGGGTCTGTCTGTAGCCCCAGCTGGCTCACTATGTAGAACAGGCTAGCCTCTATCTCACAGAGATGGGCCTGCTTCTGCTTTCCACTAGCTAGGATTAAAGGCATGTACCACACACACCCAGCCCAATTACCTTTTGAACTGTGATAACTTGTCAGTCTTGTTGTGAAACCGCTTTGATCATTAGGCAGCTACTTAATGAACATTTACTGCTTGTGTCTTTGGTTCTTTTGTCTTTGTTTTGAGTCAGGGTCTCATGTAGTCCATGCGGGCTGTAAACTCAGTATGAAGGCCAGGATAACAATGAACTCCTAGTATTCCTGCCCTTTCCCCTGCGGTACTGAGACTGCAGGTATGCACCTATCACACCCAGCTCATTTACTGTACATGTAACACTCTAGATCTAGTAATGACGCACACAAAGTTTAGAAAGCAACATGGCACCCTGCATAATTGTGGAACACTATGAACGTACCCTGAGGTAGATACACAATTAAAGAGAAGTTGAAAATTAGGATAACTATCATTTTTGTCTCTGAAGCATGCATTTGGGATTTTTCTAAAATGAAAATATACTGTCTTGTATTTTGATGACTGTATTTAAGTTTTGAACTTGTCAACCCATTGCTGTTAAATTACTTAACAACTTGTAAGATTATTAAAAATATTTAATATTTGAAACTTACATTTTTAAAACTCTTTTAATTCTAAGTAGGTCTACAAGTATTTATTAACTTGTATCTATTACATATACTATAAAACATAACTATGATATGCTAATATCTTTAATTTTATCTTTAGCTAAAATGAAGTAACATATACATGTGTTATGTATTCAGTGTTTGCCTATAGAAGTAATTTTTTCTGCCAGAAATTAGATTCTGAGAATTATAACTTGTTCTTGCTTTGGATCCAAGATTTAAAAACCACCCTGTGTTGGAATATCTCTATTATTCCTGCTAATACTTACCACCCTGACAAAGAACACATCAAGGAGAAGACATCCACAGCCTGCCAGAACGCCTTCAAGCCTCCTACTTATCACTGAGTACCCTGTCGCTCTGATATAACATCTTTTTTTTATGGGGAATTCATAATGAGAAAGCTAAAGGAAGAAACACTAGCTCACTAATCACCACACAGTCCAAAAGGCAGCCTGGCCATGCTGGGCCACCATTTGATTTGCATTGCATTGCAAGAAGTTCATGTTCCTTACTGTAGTCGCTGTTTTCATCCTTGGTCCCGTCAATGGTACCATCTGGATGCATCTGCAGGAAATATCCCTGCTGACTGAATAACCTTGTCACAATTCCTTTCAGCTGGGGTTCTGCAAAACAAGATGAAATAATTACTCACATTTTTATTTTGTTTATAAAAATGCACATTTGCAAGTTGTTAAATATATTCTGTAAGTAAACGCATAAATGCCCATGCCATACTGAAGTTAGTATCTGAAAGGGGGTGGATGGCTTCAGTGCATATCTGCACTTCTTTCTAGAGGCAGAACCATAACCCTTTGAAGCAATACATTGAATGTAAAAAAATAAGAGCTAATTATGATTAGAAAAATAGAAGCATGCGAAAAAGCGAATTATTTCCCTCTCTTGTGCATCTGGTGTCTGGCCTCAAGAAGCCACCAAGCTCATAGGCCTATTCCAGAATCACTGAACAGGCCCAAATGCCACAGTAACTCCAAAGCTTACTGACTTCACAACTGGGCCATGGAAGACTTTGCTTTCTGTTGGATGTCAACAATCAGAAACTCCAAGGTTTTGAAATTCTGATCAAGTTCATCCAGAAAGAACTACAGGAGAAAGCCAACAGTGTTCCTCAGAAAGTATGGACATGAGAACTTCATGCTTTCTAAATAGTTCACTAGAGAGGAGCCTGGAAGGGCAAAGTTCGCTTCTCTAGTGCAAAAAACATAATCAAATTATATGCATTTCTTTTCAAATTTTGAATCATGAAATGTCCTCACTTTTAAAAACTCTATGTAATTAAACCATCAAATTGCTTTGTACACCACATTCAGAGTTTTAGACATCAGTTAATATTTAAAACTTCTTCATTCTGATGCCTGCAGTGACAGCCTTGTTTGCAAAGATTCCTCATCTCCTCATCTTTAGTGTTGGGCAAAAATTATTCTAGCACATTTATACCCTAATGATTTCATTAAAAACTAAGGAGAAAAACAAAAACACTGTGTCTGGTGATAAAAATTAAGGCACAGATACAAATCATACAGCTGCTTGAAGAAGAGTATGTTATCCTCAGAAGGACAATCACTAAACTTACGCTCATAGCTTCAACCTTTGCATTTATTCAATCACCATTTACTGAGAATCTCTTCTTTTACTATCATAGCATTGTGTGTCAAACTGAGCACATTTATTGATGCCTAAGTCTGGCAGGAATGTCAGCCACTCTGTAGAGAGGCTCCTGCATCCTATGACCTGTGCCTGTGGCTTGGTATACAGTATATGACGTGATGCCACATATTTAGGGGTAGGAAGCAATGTTTGCAGTATCATGTCTTCTTCAAAGGTATCCTAAGAGGCAAATGTGATACCATGAAAAGTGAATAAGAGGCAAACTATGAGGCTGGAGAGATGGCTCAGTGGTTAAGAGCCTTGGCTGCTCTTGCAGAGGACATGGGTTTGGTTCCCAGAACCCACATGGTGGCTAACAACCATCAGTAACTCCAGTTTCAGAAGATCCAACATCCTCTTCTGGCCTCTGCAGGCACTGCACACAAATGATGCACTTACATGCAGGCAGAACACTCATGCACATAAAATAAAAACAAATTTCAAAAAATTTTAAAAAGAGGGGAATGGAAAAAAAAACTGAACTGGAAATCATCCATTGTGATCAATAGCTATCTATTCTCTTGAGTTAAATAAATGTTTTTCATTTGTAGGCATCAATTAGTTTATCAATGAAATGTGGAACTCAAACTGAATGGGCATTAGGTGCCTTCTACCATTTGCTTTGGTCATATTAGAGTCCTCTACCCTCGAGGGTGATAGGATTCAGGTTCAGTCTAGTTCTTTATGGACTCGCCCACCTTACATATATAGCAAGGCTATGTCAGAAAAATACACAGCTCACTAACTTCATGACAAATAATTGTGTCCCTCTGTATAAGACTGCATGGCTGATAAAGGCCTCTGATGTGGCCCCCTCGGCTTTAGATGTCAGTGAAATTATAAGACCCAGCATAGCCCCCAGCTGTCTGGGAGTCCTGAGCAAATAATGTAACATCTGAGTCTCGCTTTTTTTTATCTGCACATGCATGGAAAAAAAAATTCCTAGCCTAACTGTAACCAATGAGAAGGTAAAATGAATAATTATGTGATAGTATGAGCTAGAAGACGCCATCAAACTATAAACGCTAATTCATGCACAGTGTTTCCACTATGAAAATCAAGGAAGCAGTGTAAGTGGAGGGGAAGAGGGTGCTCAGAGAGCAGACTCCAGGCCTCCTCATTTCTGTTCTGGTAAAATAGTGATTGAACTTGTGAAGGCAGCAATGCAGACAACAGGCTGAGAACACAGGAGAGAAAATGGCAGAAAGGGACATGGTTCTCAGCTCATATATTTTTCTGATAATCTTAAGGTCATTTTAAGAAGTGATACTTTCTTTGGTAATGAGGTGCATGGCAGCTTAGTCATTAAAGCCTGCCAATGACTGTTTGTTTTCTTCATGCCCCTTTTAGGCACCTGTAATTAAACACTTCTTTTGCCATGGTGAAGCTATCCCCCTGTTGGGACTATGGGAATTCAGGTTGTAACTCCTGTTTCAGGATAATGACCATTAGACTTTTATATCATCCCCCATTGCTGACAGCACTGTGGAACAGTCTCTGGATATAAGTCTTAATTACGTGATAATATAGAAAAGTAAATGTCTTGTACCATAGAGGTTTCACAGGAGACCTGAACCTAGAACTCAACATAAATCACTAAAAGCTAAACAGCTCACCTGTAGGACAGTACCTCATTCCCATCTCTCAAGCCCTACCACCCTTTCCATGCTCTGCTCAAAAGCACCTCCCCCCATAGGTTGACCAACATCAGTGATGAAATTTTATAAGGGAAGGGTGTACCTTGCTATATTTTAAAGAAAGAGATTAACACTCAAGAACACTTTTTCGCATATCTAACATCCCAGGCATGTTAAAATTACACACATATTCCTTGTCAGTCTTTGCTGAGAAACTTAAGATGAAAAAGCTGTGCTATCCTCAGAAAGCACCTCGTACAATGCATGAAGAATATTATATGCCACACTAGTGTAAGGAAGCTATTAAACCAGTGAAGTAAGGCTGCATGACAGTCCCAGAAGCAAGGGCTAACTCTGTCTAGATAGGCAAAGACATCTCCTCTGTCACGTGAGGAATGAGTAGAATTCTCTCTCTCTCTCTCTCTCTCTCTCTCTCTCTCTCTCCCTCTCTCTGCATATGTGCCTATACACATACAATTGTATGAAAGTGCTGTGCACATATGTGTGTATATGTGAGGACAGAGGACAGCTTCAAGTGTTGTACTGCAGCACCATCTGCCCTTATTTTTTTTTTTTTTTGAGACAGTCTCTCACTGACTTGGAAATTGCCAAGTACACTAAGCTGGTCACCAATGAGCTTCAAGGATCCACCTGTCTCTACTTCCCCAGTGCTGGGATTACAAGTGCATGTCACAGCACTTAGAATTTTTTGGCATGGACTCTGGGCTGAACTCTTCCTCAGCCTATAAGTAGAATTTTCACAGGAAAAACAACAAACAACAAAACAGATAGGCATTCCAAACAGAAGATGCAGCAGGCCAGTTCTGCCAATCATGAGTTCAGTACAGACAGAAGGTAAAGAAGTTCTCAAATGTGACATGCAAGTCCCTCTGCTCATCAAATGTTTACAGATCAACAGTATTTTTTTAATAAAATATGGACAATGAAATCAGTTTTATTAAGTTCTTCACAATTTAAGCAACTCTCCTTAAGATTACATTATTCTATCAATTTCTCATATTTTTGATGAAGTGGTGGCTTTATCATGAGACGGTGGGGAAGCAGGGGTAGGTTTGCTAATTCTTGTGCTCTGAGGTGGGGTGGTAATACTGCTAGCTAGCATTTCACTCAAATCCATTTCCTCTTTTTTCCTGGGCACCCAGCTCGACCATATGTCCTAGCCTCCCTTGCAATTAGGTTTGGCAGAGGAAAGAGTGTCATATGGAACGTAAGTGGAAGTGATATGTGCCACTTCCAGGCCAATGCTTTCAAAAGCAAACATTCTCCTCCACATCCTCTCTAGATAAGACGGCAAAGCTAAAGCAATGTCAGAGTCACAGAATGGAAGAATGTTGAGCTCTGAATAACTCGTGGAGAAAAGAAAACAGCTATCAGAAATACTTGCCATGCACAATGGAGTAAATAAGAAGCACACTTCTGTTGGCTGGGTGCAATGGTGCTCTTCCAATGAGAAGAGAATGGAAAAGAAGGGACTGATATTATGGTGTGAAACCTGACAAAGCCCTACCTCAGCCAGGTGATCTAGGTTAATAAGAGCAATAATCAATCCTGTTGGTATGCTGAGCTAAGAAGGCACAGTCCTCGATGAGCAAAAAATATAACCTTTAACTTCAAAAAAAAAAACCACAAAGCAAATACCAATCAACAGGCATACAAAAAACTTTCATGCTTGAATCACCAAGGTCAGCAAGGAAATGTCACAGAGATAAAGAAATGAAAAAGAATATCTAGACATGATAGCTAGAGGTAATGTGGTATTCTAGAACTGAAAATATGGGTAGATTTAAAACAAAGGAAGCCAAGCATGGTGACCCATGTCTGTAATCCCAGAGCTTGTTGTGCTGAGGCAGGAGGATAAACTAAGTGTGGGAGAACTAAGAAGAAATGAAGGAGGGAATGCAGGAAGGAAAGCGGATGGGGGAGGAAGGGAGGGAGGAAATCTGAATGAATGCAGATTACAGTTTATCATAATTTTTCAAAACTGAAAAATGTGTCATACTAATTAATATAAGATGCTAATAAGGAAGGGTGTAATCCATATGAAAACTCTGTATTATTGTGCCTTCTCAGTTAACAACTATTGCAAAAATAGCCAGGTATGGTGGTGCATATCTATAATCCTAGCACATGGGAGGTAGAGGTACGAGGATCAGGAGTTCAAGGTCAGCCTCAGTTATACAGTGAAACCAAAGCCTGCTGAGCTACATGAGACTCTGCTTCAAAAAACCAAAAATACAAACAAAAATAACCTGGTATCCAATAAATACAAAGGTTATTACAGTCACAGCTATAAGAAATGA